GAAGGCAGTAATTTTCTCAAGTGGGCCTCTATTGCACCCACCGAGTCCTGTGCTACCAATCTGCCTTCGGATTGCCCGAGCTAGACCTACTAAAATCCTCAAGGGAATCACTTTTCCGAAAACCAATTTGGTTTCAACCCACACAAATCAGTGACAAACTCTTGTTAAAGTTAGACTTAGTGTCGCGAATATCCGGGTTTAGACCTGTTTTGTTTTAGTCTACTCTTCTATAAAAGGCAAGTTACCAGTGCAGTCACTGGTTTCTAGCCTGACACTTAATAACCTAATGTTCTTTACTATTTACTTTTCTTTTGTCTGCTTAAGTTTTGACAAAAATTAGTACCTTTCCGGATTTGCAAAATTAGGACCCATCCGGATTGGCAAAAATAGGACCCTTCCGGATTGGCAAAAGCAGGACCCCTCCGCATTGGCAAAAAATAGGACATTTCCGGATTGGCAAAAACAGGACCCTTCCGGAATGGCAAAATTAGGACCCTTCCGGGTTGGCGAAAATCGGACCCATCCGGATTGGCAATAATACGACCCTTCCGGTTTGGCAAAATTAGGACCCTTCCGGATTGGCAATAACAGGACCCCTCCGGATTGGCAAAATTAGGACCCTTCCGGATTGGCAACAGTGAGACCCCTCCGGATTGGCAAAAATAGGACCCTTCCGGATTGGCAAAGTTGAGACCCCTCCGGATTGGCAAAAATAGGACCCCTCCGGATTGGCAAAAAAGGACCCTTCCGGATTGGCAAAATAGGACCCCTCCGGATTGGCAAAAATTGGGACCCTTCCGGATTGGGGCCACTCCGAGTTTGTAAAAATAGCGCTTCCGGGACTTTTAAAATTTTCACCCGAAACCATTCCGGATACGTTCTCCGATGCTATTATAGTGTAGGAACTAACTAGGAAGGGTGTATTTTCCGTCTCTAGACCCTTCCGGATCGAAGCTAAGCCTCTTATTTTGCTATTCTACTCAACTGTGAAGGGTCTTGTAATTAGCCTTGTTTTGACTCGACTTTGATTTTCTGGGTTCCTTAGCCCTCCCTTTTTGTCTAAAACAGCGCACACTTGCCTTTTTCAACCGTTACTACCCTTTGGTAGGGGTATAAGGGCTTTCCAAAAAAAATACAAAACGTGAAGGGCCTATCGATTTCTCTGTAACCCGGAAGGTTATCGGCAAACGGGTTTTAAAACCTGTCGATTTACTAGCGAACGTTGTCCAGACAACAATTTTTACTGTCCTAACTCAAAAATTAAAAAAAAAATTATTTTGTAGCGTTTCGTTTTTTGAAAAATCAAAAAAATTCGGTTTTTGTTACCCAATTAGTTCCAACCACTTCCTAACTAAACTCACCGGTTCTAGCTATTGAACTAGTACGGTCACGATGTAGTTTTGCGTTTTTACCCTTTTCAAAAAAAATTGATATCTCAAAAATTGCGACTTGTGGGGGTCAAACTATCGCTATTTAGACCCCAAAAACCGGTCTGCTTACTGTGTTTTTCACTGAAAAACGGCTTAAGAGTATTAATATAGGCTGTATAAATAGTAATACTGGTAATGTTATACCCCTCCTAAGGTGCTTAACTCGGAAACTCGCAGTTCGGTGATGGGTCACTACAGTGCAGTCACTGTCGAGCCCCCCACAGATTAATATCCTACTTTTTGTACCAAAAGTGATACAAAACTTGTTAACGATACCCAGGAACCGATTGCTGTTGTCCTTGAGGCCCTTCTTGTCGCTCCTTGCACTGCTTGCCGGATCAGACTCCTTCTCTAATCCCGAGACCCTTCCAGATTGAGCGCAAATTAGCATTAACGTGCTTAAATACTCAAACAACCCGTACAGGCACCAGAACCGTGCCACAATTCTGATCGTAACGATCCTGGTTGATATATCTAACAACAACAAACGGGAGGGTTGGATCACATCTCGTCTGGGGGGATGATTTCTACTGATTTTTTACTTTTTTTTTTTTTTTACTTTTTTTGGTTTTTTCGGTTACTTATTTGTTTTTTGTTTTTTTTTTAGGTACTATACTACTTTTTGTTTGATTTCCTGTATATTGTTAAGTGTTTTGGTCACAAACCTCTCAGGGAACGACGGGACAGCCAATCCCCCCACCCTTCCTGAAACGTGAATTTTCGGTCTTAAGTAGGTTAAAAAGCTATTCACGGGAATCCGGAAGGCTTCCGCGTTCCGAATTACCCTTCCGCCCAATAGTTAGGGCCTTGTTATGAGCATCCGCTCGGCGAGGAGTGCTCATTAACAGTTCTGCTGGTCATGATGTTAAAAAGAATAACACCCCGAAGCGCCATAAAACATCTATAATAATAATCATAATAACAAAGGATTTAGGAACATAATCCAAGGGTTCGCATAAAACCCAGTCATTGCACTGTTCAAAATTTAGTTTTCAGTTATAAGTTTAAGTTTCTTCAGGTCTCTACAGTTGTTGCATTCGCATAAAATGCGCCAAGTGCATGTGTCTGATTCGTTGTAGCGAGTTTTGAAAAGCTTTGTGTAACATTCGCCCACATGTACATATCGACGGAAAATAAAGCTAAGTTCTAAAATGACTGGCTAGCGTCTAAACACAGCTCTATATGCTTTTCACCGTCTCTGCCAAAGCCAGTTCATTTGGTGGTCTTCCCAACATCGGGTCGACAAACAAAAACGTTACTATTTCCGTCTTCGATCAGAACGCTCTATTTAACTTAATTACATGCAAAAATAGTGAGCTCATGGCTGGGTCTCAGTATCCCCAGACCACAAAATCACTCCTCAAAACAGGGCTACTGCTTATTTATTATTTTACTATTAATTTTATTCCATAGATAAAAATCATCATCTCCATCGAAGATGGATCAACCCTTTCCGTTAACTCCTAGCTTCTCATGATCTGAAAACGAATTTGGATGTTAATTATATTCGACTCAGGACATGACCAGTAAGCTAAAAGTTTATATATAACAACTTGAGTTCTGGGCCCGACTTCTCCTATTTCTTCTCGGAAGGCTGGACATGTCGTCTCAACACCCTTCCTAGTTCTCGTGAACTGCTCAGTAACGATTGTAGCGGCACAATCGTTACAACCCGGAGTGGTTTCTGACAATTTCTAATCACAATCTCAATCCTCTGTCGTTTCTCCATTGTTCTTGTCCTTGAGAATTCTCTCCTTCTGATTTCGCAGTTTCATTGTGTGCGAAATAAAAAAAAAAAAGGTTACGTGTCTTTCACGTCCAAATCGAAAAATTAAAAATTAGCTTGTCAGTCAAAACTGACCGTTCCCGGTTTGTCTGACCGTTCAATTAACTTCCCTAATTCACAAAAACAATCAATCTTCTAGGTTAGATGTTGCAATAAAAATTCGAATGCGAAATTGCGTTTTGACCAGTCTGGTCCATTGTCACATTTACCCGTTTTTTTTTTAGCTTCAGCAGTAGGAGTGAAAGCTACTTTCGTTGAAATTTTGGGTTTGGAGCACGAGAATGGAAAATATAACGATATGCTAGAACTTGGGTTTGATTCGGCAGAATTTGAAGTAGCTCCGGTAGCTCTGTAATCGAAATTCAAAAACATTGGACAGAGCCCATTTTTGATAAGGAAATTTTTCAGATGTTTTTCATACAGGACATACTGATGTAAAACATTTTCAATGCTCACAAGGATAAGTTCGGATCGCAATGGTTGAATATCATACCGCGTAAAATTCTAAGATTGAAATTGTCAAATCGGCTGCTTAGAATTGCTTTTGGACTCCGCTTAGGTTCAAAAATTTGTGGAAAACTATATTGCGTTTGCAAAAAAGATGCAACCGAAGCTGGATAACATTGCCAATTTTGCATCAAATTGCATGGAGATTCCTTAGTAATTCAAATTTGAATGTCCTAATAAAGCAAGGGCTCGATTCTACTTACACTTTTCTGTTTCAAAGCCACGACACCTCCACATGACAGATCAGAAGCGACCAGATGGTTTGACGCTCGTCTCTGAGTGATGGTAGGCAGCTCTTGTGGGATGTAACTGTATGGACTCCCTAGCCCCTAGTAGAATAAGCACAGGCTCGGTTTGTTACCCCCGGAACGGCTGAGGCGGAAGATCGAAAGACTGACAAATGTAGCGATTTAATTAATAATGAATATATTTTTCAACCAATGGCTTTTGAAGTTCAGTATGCCACTGGCTTCAGCTCTGAGATTTTTCTGAATAAACTTTGTAAGAACTTGAGCACGTGTACCGAGGAAACCAGGGCAGGTAGTTTTTTAAGCAGAGAATCTCCCTTGCAAAACAGGTTGCGAACGCTGACTATGTACTCGGCCCTTTTGATGATGAAACTACTTTCGAAGACGTTTTTATTCATAGAGCCAAGGGAACAACAGCGCAGCTTTTTATAAGTTTTATGAAAGACCCGTAGTCTCATCTCAGGTCTCTTTATTTATAAGAAATTTAAAATGTTATTTCAAACGTTTTCGCACATTTTGTGCATCATCAGGATTAAAAGTTTTACAATATTTACAAAACGATCACAGATCTGGAAAATGAGAAACATGTCTATAGATGCTTTAAAACTTTTTGACCAATCAAATTTAAACAATGTAATTACATAATAAATTACTTTGAGAAGGCTTTATTATTGTAATTTCAAGCAAACGTTTTCGCACATTTTTGTGCATCTTCAGGTTTTAAAAATTCTAAACTATCTGTAAAAAACAATCAAAGATCATAAAAAGTGTCCTACACATCATCATTTCAAAATTTTAAACATTCAACCAATCAAAACTTTACAAATATTACTGAAATTATGTAACAACTATTATGTAACAATTTCAAACATTTTGCCTGAAATTTATTACGTAATCTCTTTATTTATTCTCTTTTTTGAGTCTTTTATTTCCGGTTTATTCTGTGCCGGTGTTGGTTTTTTCTGAATCTGTTTGGCATGATTCCCAACCATGTGACTCTCTTTACTTCTATCCAAGTTATCCAATCCTAATTGTTGTGATAAACTTATTAAATAGTTTCATGTTGGATATGATCGATGAAAACCTGCAGCGCGTGCTCGACCTCCAGTAAAAACATCCAACACACACCTACGACGGCGCGAGACCGGCCCAGGCGACGACCCGAGACGAACCCAGGCGACGACGCGAGGCGGACCCAGACGACGACAAAGAACAGGAGTAGTTTGGTTGTTTGTTTAACCCCTCGCTCTGGGCTAAAGTTCACTCGCGGTTGATACTCCGGACTTTTGGGCTTCTCAGACTATATCCACTCTACCTCTCTGGGTGGACCCGCCAAAGGGTACTGGGTGGGCCCGCCAACGGGTGCTGGGTGGACCCGCCAACGGGTGATGCCGAAGAAGACAGGTGGATCCTCATCGACGACGAGAAGAGGAGATCCGTCGACAGAGGGAATGGAGACAGAAGAGGAGAGTACGCAGGCGTACTGCAGTCAATGCAAGACACATCTCAGAGGTGGTGGCGTGTGGTGTGGAAATTGTGGGTATGTACACGTCCGATGTAGCGGTCTTTCGTCGTCCAAAGCCTGGGAAGATGGCTTTTTGTGTCAACACTGCAAAATTCTGGAAGTTGGCAGCCAACAAACCACAGGCTTATCACAAACCACAGGCTTATCACAGTTCATGGACCGTTTAACGCTGAATGAAACTTCAATTCGTATGAATATCGAAGCGTCAGCAAGCGTTTTACGACCCCCAAAACAAGGTACACTGTTGATTCGTCCACTGCCCGACTACGAGAAAACAAATAAAACTTCGAGATTTGGAATTTTAAGTCATGAACAAGCTGTAGAGGTTTTTCGCAGGGCCTACCAAACATGCGCCGACTGGCAGCCCAATTTGTTTTACCTCCCCAGATGCAACGCAGCCACCGACTTCCTCAAAAAAATGAGTAAGTTACTAGACTCATTTGCAGAAAATGGCTCGAATTCCGAATATTCGCTGAATGCGGCAATGATAATGGCTCCACTGTTGTTGCAAATGTCCGACAAGTCAAACCAAAGGGCAGATATCAAAAATCTTTAGAGACGTCTTGTCTTGTGGGATAAAGATGAAATTGAAGAACTGCTACTTGAGTGTTCAGCTATACAAAAAGCGCTATTGAAAAAACAAAAGAAGCGCGGAAATCAAAGTGTCGCTAAAACGTTCGCAAACAATATGAAACGAGGAAAAGTTGGCGCCGCCATAGCAAATTTATCGGGAGATCCGGGCGGAGGTGTATTGCAGTTACAAGAAGAGGTTGTGAACAAAAATAAAAAGAAAACTGTGAAAGAACATCTACTAGATTTGCATCCAAGACAACGCACCATTCAGTCAGAAGCTGTAATCGACAATTGCGAAGACGAACATATCTTTCATCCCGTGCTATTTGACAGAATAACTGGAGGTCTTATAAGAAAATCCGCGATGCAACTCAGAGGAGCAGCTGGGCCATCCGCAACTGACGCAGTCCAATGGAAAAGGTTTTTGATAGAACACAAACAAGCGTCAAATACGCTCTGCCAGTCTGTGGCCGGGGTAGCGAGAAAGTTGTGCACACAGCACGTTGCCCCTGATTACATAAACAATCTCCGTGATAGTAGGTTAATACCACTGGACAAGATGCCAGGCATCAGACCAATTGGCATAACTGAAGTTTTACGAAGACTAATTGGTAAAGCTGCTCTATCGGTTTTGAAACCATATATCCGTGAAGTTGCCGGTAACAAACAACTTTCTGCAGGCCATGAAGCTGGATGTGAAGCCGCTATTCACGCGATCAGAAAAATGTTTACGGACCATGAGTGCGAAGGATTGCTATTAGTGGATGCCGAGAATGCGTTCAATGAACTCAACAGACAAACAGCCCTGAGAAACATTCAAGTACTGTGCCCTGGATTTTCCAAAATTTGCACTTTTATCGAGAGCCTTCTCAACTCTATCTTTCTGGTGATACCATTCAGTCAGAAGAAGGAACCACACAAGGTGACCCGTTAGCTATGCCTTTTTTTGGAGTTTCAGCAATGCCCATTATCAATGCCACAGAAACACCTGGGTGCAAGCAAGTTTGGATTGCTGACGATGCAACCGGGATAGGAGACATAGACGCCCTCAAGATATGGTGGGACAAAATCTCTACATTCGGACCGAGCTTTGGGTACTATCCGAATGAGAAGAAAACTAAAGTTCTTGTCAAACCAGAGTTTGAGGAAAAAGCCAGGGAGATATTCAAGAAATCGAGCGTAGAAGTTCTCACGGAAGGACAGCGAGTTCTTGGATCGGTTGTTGGAAGCCAGAAGTTTGTTGAACAATACGTATCAGGTTTGGTGGAAGAATGGCTTGCTGAGCTACAGACGCTTAGCGACATTGCAAAAACGGAGCCACAGGCCGCACTATCTTGTCTGACCCATGGCTTGCAAAGCAAGTACACTTTCTTACTCAGAACCACACCTGACATCATCGAGTTAGTTCAGCCAATACAAACATTCATAGAGGATACCTTATTGCCCAACATTTTTGGTCGAGCTATATCTGACGAATTGATGAGAGTAGCGAAGTTACCTTGTAGAGAAGGAGGCCTTGGTATTATTGATCTGACTCGTCAGAGTTTTCTTGAAAAGTCACTCTACATCAGTGAACCTCTAATCGAGTCTGTTGTTTCTGGAAGCTTTGAACTCATGGAAAGTATCTTCAGCCTACAGCAAAGAAGAAAAAATCAAGTGTACAAGAGCAATCGAGCAGAATGAAAGCAACGTTTGACCGAAGTTCTTGATGAATGCTCGAATGATCTCAAAAGAATGGTACTGCTAGCAAGTGAACGAGGGGCTTCTGCATGGTTAACGATGTTACCGATTGAAACTGAAGGTTTCTCACTAACTAAGTCAAATTTTCGTGATGCGTTATGTCTGAGATACGGCCTGACTCCCGATCCCATGCCTGTCAAATGTGCCTGTTCCAAAGATTTTAACGTTGAACATGCGTTGAGCTGCTCAAAGGGCGGCTTCCCAATAGTTCGCCACAACGAAATACGTGATTTGTTTGCAAATGTTCTGTCACAAGTTTGCCACGATGTAGCACTTGAACCTCAGCTGCAAGAAGTAGACCGGACTCTAACACCAGGTTCAAATTCTCAAGCTGGCGCAAGATTGGACATCAGTGCAAGTGGTGTTTGGGGAGGTAGATTTGAGAAAACTCTGTTTGACGTTCGAGTATTCAGTCCACTCTGTAAAACCAACAGTGGACCAATTCAACAGACATACCGACGTCATGAGACAGAAAAAAGGAGGAATTACAAATCGCGAGTGCTCGAAATTGAAGGTGCGTCGTTCTGCCCAATAGTCTTATCCACCTCGGGGGGTCAGGCTCCCGCCACACAAGCACTAGTAAAACGACTTGCCACCCTACTATCAGAAAAACTCGACATTCCACGCCCTATCACAACAAGCTGGCTACGGAACCGATTGAGCATGGCCATCACTCGATCCTGTATCATGTGTCTGAGAGGTGCACGATCGATGTGCCAGTCGGTCATATTTGGAAGTTTGACCTTGAGAGAAGCAAAAAAACACTTGATTTTGGAGTGAAATTTAATTTTTCAAAATTTCGAATGGAACCTGTCATGCACGATTTTCTCGCGAGAACTGAAAATCAGAAAAAGAGATCAGAACAATTGAGTCGAAAACGCGGGAAAGTCGCAAGAAAAAGCAGTAGGAAATTGCTATTCGCAATTTCCATCACTATAATAATCGAGAGTAGAGCTGTCCCATCTGTGACAGAGACGAGAGCATTCCCTCGAATTGGATCATAACGACTGGAGTATTATTCGGAACTGGACTAGAGTGAACCTTCGGTGGAAAGGTGGACAGCTAGAGTGTCCCAATGGTTCACGAGAACTTACAGTCTAGAGAAAAAACTTATTCTTATTATTAAAACTGACTGACATTGGACTCATTTTAGTTACTTTATTAATTCTTGAGTTGCTTACCGACTTATTTACTTCCTGGTTCTTGAGCGTGCTACAATGTGAGTACTTAATTTAAATTCCTAGAGTGTGTTTTATAATTGTGATGTTGAGGTAAGGCGAGTTTTAGGTTGATCCATCTGAAATGGATCAAAGTTACACTGTCTAATAAAAAGTAACTTAACGGATTGTTCCAACCCGGTTTTTAACGGCGTTCATGTATTTTGGGTATCTAGAGACCTAAGTATGGGGACGTTTCTAATTCTAGAGTGGGGGGATATTTTAGTAGTAGCCTTTAAGCTGTAACGGGTCGTAGTCTCATGTCACAAGCGAACCGAACTGGCTCCGACCGTTCTTGAGGTAGAAAAACACAAGAGATAGTGTCCCTGACCCTTGAGCCAGTGGTTATAGGGCCTATTTTTCTTAAGCCTCATGTGTGACTGCAGTAGACGAATGTTACATAGTGTTTTTATGGCGCTCCTGGGTGTTTACGACATCAAGACTACGGAGTCGAACCCACTTGAGACAGCTTCGGGCTGAATGCCCATTCTAGAGTACCGGCGGTACGGTTCGACAGGAACGTGCAAACCTTCCGGTTGTACCGTGATAGCTTTTTAAGAAAACTCGAGAAAATTTCCTGGTACGCTCTCCGAACGAGGCTTAGCTAACCGAGTAAAGGGGGGCAACTAGGGAGACAAAAACACGAGCAAAAAGACAAAAAGCAAAACAAAAACCAAAAAAGAATAGAAAAAGGAACAAAAACCATAAAACGAAAAAAGACAGTGACTTTGACACCAGATTAGTTGGATCAAACCTTTATATTAATTAAATAGTATACCCATACTGTTTTACAAAATCGATCGTTTCGATCAACCTAGCAATTTAAACCAGTAAACTGAATAAAGTGCCCGAAGTGGGGCGTCGTCAAGGGTTTTCAGATAGCTTGGAACTTAGCTGGACCAATAGGAGACTTGACTGGAAGAGGTGACCAGCCGAGTGGGAAAGTGGTTCAGGGACACTTGAGCTGAACCAATAGGAGACTTGACTGGAAGAGGTGACCA